TGAAACAGCCTGCAAGACCAAATAGCAGTGGGATTTTAGTTAGTTTCTGAATTCTTTTATCTCCAAGTTGTCAGCTGGAGCTTTAATCTTTCAAAGACAAAAATCTGAGCCCGTGTAAATGAAGAGTTCTGATATACCTTCCTGATCTCGGTGCCGAATTTCTCTGATTCTTCATCGACAAACTGCAACAATATTGAAGGCCAGAATTCAATATTGAATGCATGCATCAAATCTGAAATGAACAAACACTGTAGACCAGAGGAAAAAAAGATCTCTGTAGAGTTAACGCAGCCTCACCTGCCCTGTCACCGTATATAGTCTGTTGTACCAACCATTGAATGCAACTCCAAGTGCTGAAAGCAAATGTCTGCGACTTTCGCCTGGATTTTGCAGCGTATACTCGATGTAGTAAAGCCCTATCAATTGTTGGAAAAAAGGAGGTTGTCTTAAATTTGATCATTGCTTTTTATCGTGAGCAGATCTCATCCTCAATCCATCATCAACTCTTACCTCACACTGTAATTCATTGTAAAGATTGAAGAAAATTACCATTAGCAGCTTTAGAGTCTATTAGTTTTGCTGCCACGCCCGGGGGCCTCTGCCAGCTCCTGTCCAATCCACCCACCTGGACATGAAGACACAAAATCAGTAGAATCAGTCGTACACAAAACCCGCAATTCAGCAATGCTGAAGGGGCTTCTCCTCGAGGACCACAAAATCGGATACTGAATAACGTACGAGAGTCTCAGCAAAGGCATCAACTTTGCCAAATGATTCCAATCTAGTAAAATCTGGACCGAGCCCGGTGATCACAACGCTGACTGAAGCAAACCAATTGATTAAGTGTGAAAATCATCAATAAACTTATTTGTTGATCAATTAAAAGGTGGGTTTGTCAGAAAATCTCTACAAATACCACTTGAATTAGAAGCTTCTTCTGGATAGAAAGCAGTGACGGATTTGTATCCACTTGGTTCTCCTGCACCTACTTGCCAGCCTGCAAAGAACCAGAGGTCTTTCTCAATATTCCTCTACCATTCATGCCTAGCGTAAACTGTAAACAGCCACCAGAATTTCCTACCAGCACCGATAGAACAATATTCGATAATAAAATCTCGAATTAGAATTGTGTGTGCTGAACCTATTCGATAGAATTCTGTATTGTTTGTGCTAACTGTCTTTCTTTCGATCTGCGTCACCCAATCACTATTATTCAATTTTTACATCACCTGCTACTTATAGCTGCAAAGATAAAAAAATTCAGAGTTAATGTACCTTGGGGAATAGATATCTTAAACTTGTTCGCATCATCGGTATAAACACGTAAATCCTCTGCCACGCCTGAAATTCAGCAGGTAAGGGATTGCTTTTACAATAAAAATAAACAGTAACACCATAGTGAGGGATTACTATCACAAATTACCTGTGGCTGCCAATGCAGTAGAGGCAATTGCAGGGAAAGTAAGAGCAGTAAAAACCATATTGAATAAAGCTTCTCTTCTTTTAGTTCCAGCTCCGCATGGTACTTCTCCAAGGCAAAAACTACACCAATTTGACAAAAACAATCAAAACCCACAATGAATAATATTTAACAAAGAGAATTGAACTCAAAAAGCCATGAAAGGTACAAGCTGAGTTACAGCAGTTGTTCTTCGTCTTCTTCTTCTTGTTTGTAGTTGTTGTTGGAGCAGAGAACATGTTGATGTTGGTTTCTGCGTCTGCTGCAGCTTAAAGAAGTTGAAGGAGCAGGAATGTTAGTGTTAAGCTTGGATTTTAGAATGTAAAGACTCGGCTTGTTGGAAGAGAAAGATGAGAAATTGGGATTGAAAGGACGTTGAGACAGAGAGTTCAGTGAAGAGATACAAGCCATGCTTTTTAGATTCGCTTTCTACTGTTTTGCTCTCTTTCCATTTATCCGTTTTTTCTGTTATACTTCACTAATTACTAGATATTTTTTTAAGAATAAAAAATAATTTTAATTAATTTATCATGATTTAAATTCTTACATGTGTATGATGCAATTAGTCTCCGTATAAAGAGTTGAGATTTATGTAGTTCTTTTTATCGTTCAAATAACCAAAGATCATTTATTAATGTTAATGATTTGGTTATATTTGTTTTATTGTTAATGAAACTGCTATTTTTCTTTGAAAAAAATATAAATATATTAGGAAAAAACTCAAATAAACTAATACTTATATTTAAAAAACAAAAAATGAAAACAAACCCTTCAAAGTCCAACTTGAGTAAATTATAATGAGATTTGTGATTGTTATTTGTCTTAATTGTTTTGATTCAATAGCTACTAATTCAAGGAAAATTTAATAATAATTTTTTTTAATATTAATTCCAATGTATATTCTTAGCATGGTTCCTTGTAATGTATTTATACTTGGAATCCTTATATACATACATGTATGTATATACATTCATATATATATATATATATTACAGAAACCATTTTGTCCTTTTTCGTGTCTTTTTACTTAGACGTCCCTAAGATTCCATCTTAATCATGCTGCAAACAAATATCAGACCGACCAAAATTGTGGTCCAAAATCCTAATTACCTATGCAGAACCCAACAAGCTTTATCTCTTTCTTTAAATAAACAAATCCTTGCACAGCAATGCATTCGTATGCAATGTACCTGAGGATATACGATAGAGACTTGCTTCCATTGTCAAGTTCTCATAATTGTTCCGAGGACAAAAGGACTAAATTTTTATTTTTTTAATATTTCAAGCATTTAAAAAAAATTAAATTAATGTCTTTAGGTGCCTTTTTTTTATAGTATTAATGGGAAGAATAAAAAAAATATTTTTTTAATATATTTTAATTGAAAAGCACTTTTACAAATATATGAAGTAACGTATTACCAAATTTAATTTAATTACATCATGTAATAAAAAAATAAATCATAGAAGAAAATCACATCACTTCCTGTCTTTGTAAGGATTTGGGATCAAGAGATTTGTTCCCTCTGTAATCTCAATATTTGGGATTAAGGGGTTTACTCCCTCTATGGTCTCAGGTTGAAAAGCACTTTTAAAAATATATGAAGTAACATATTACCAAATTTAATTTAATTACATCATGCAATAAAAAAATAAATCATAGAAGAAAATCACATCACTTCCTGTCTTTGTAAATATTTGGGATTAAGATAAGCTTACATGGTCGTTAACTTCAGAGCTCGTGGGATTAGTCGTGGTGCGCACAAGCTGACCCGGACACCCACGTTAATCTAAAAAAAATCTATTTTCTATTAAAATTTATTTATTTATTTTTAATTCTTTTTTTAATCTATCTCTTTATCATTTTAAAAATATCCAGTTATTATAAATTAAATACCATAAAAAATTCTCCAATTTTGATATTAATTCTTTCAAAGGAAGCCTTTAATTTTGAGCCAGCTCTTGCCAAGGAGCAGGGAGGACGCCCCTAAAACAGCCTTCCTGAGACGTTCACTGTTAATAATAATAATAAAAAAGATTGAAAGACAGAAGAAGATTGCATTTCAAGCATGGAAAAAAATTCACTGACATTTTTAAAGTATGAAGAAAAAAAACATTTTTAAGAAATTTAATTTCGGCTCAACCTTTTCCTTTTACGTGATTCATTTTATAGGTTTTTCTAACATGTGCTAGAATAATACATTAATTTTATTATAAATTGAGTATTTTCATTTTTAAAAATATTAAATTATAAATAAATATTGTGCTCAATTATGTAAATAATAAATAAGCCAAGTGGAATTTTCTAATTATATTAATCAACACTTGCTCTTATAATACATTTTAAAAATGCTTTTCTTTACTTAGCTGGTAAACTTGCTGTAAAACACACACTCAAAATCAATATTTTATTTTATTAAAAACAAAAGGAGTGTTTGGTGGATCATTTAGCTTCCGTAACCTCTTAATGGCAGCATTTCATGGGTAAAATTTAAAATCAATGTTATTGATTACTTTTTTGGGATGCAGTTTAAGTAAATTCAGATAAAAAATAACATTTAATAAAATATATATTTAATATCATGGTGCAAAGTAATTTTTAATAATATTTTTGATTTAAAAATGCATTTAAATAATTTTTTATATTTTAATATTAAAATTATAGAAAAAAATACTAATTTAATATTTTTAAAATTAAATATATTTTTAAAATTAATATATTCGCAAACACTCTTTTAAGTTTATGTACCAACTACCTTATCTACCAACTTTGTAAACTTTGTAGATCATAAAATTGTTTAACTATCCAAGGAATGGAGGTACTAATTTTTCTTAAAATGTATTGGGTCTGGTTACTATTTTTGAATATAAAAGCCTAAAATAATAAAAAAACGTGTATTTTTTAAAAAAAGTATAAAATTCATTCTAAGATTATTAAGCCTAAAATAATAAAAAAAACATGTATTTTTTTTTAAAAAGTATAAAATTCATTCTAAGATTATTATAGGAATAAATTTATTTTATATATTTATATTTTTTATGTATTCATTTATTTTAGCACAAGAAATAAAATTATCAATTTTTTTAAAAGTTATATTTAAAATGACATTAACCAAACATAAAAAATAAAATTTTGGTAAAGATTATAAAAGCAAAAAAAAGTATAATAACCAATTTACAAACCACTCATTAAATTTCAGACATAATGACTTGAAGATAACTTAAAAAATCAAGGGAAAAAAAGGGTCATAAATCCCTAATACTGTCCTCGAGTAGAATAAAAAACTAATCGCCAGGAATTAACATACATGTAAATATTTCTTGAAATTTTTATAGCCTGATCGACACGTGCTCTTGAAACGATATGAGTACAGGAATTTGATACTCGAGAGAGGAAGAGATGGTTTTGAAAAAAGAGGGAGGGTAAACGCCGCCGTAAATGGAATAAACATAATAAATATCTTTTTTGTAAGAAACCAAATTCAGGCCTACTTTTTATCTGTCTTTTTTTTTTTGTTTTTTAATAATAATGAAGGCCTCCCCCTCTCTTTCTCACCGTTAGTGGGAAGGGGCGAGAAGGGATGAAAAAGGAAAAATTCTAAAAATAAAATAAGATTATTTGTAAAAACAAAAACAAAAAAGTGTTTGAATTAAATTATTAACTTGATATTTAGATTGAGAAATACCCTTTGCAGGTCTTCATTTCCTCCACCCCTTGTGAAATTTCTTCCTCTTTTACTTTCTCCTTATTTACCGGTAAGTTTATGTTTGTTTATTGTTTTTGTTTTCTTTTTTCTTTTTTTCCTTTTTAATTTTGGAAATAAAAGAAATTTATGATGAATTTCTTTATCTTGATTTGTTGCCTTTTCTGATTTCTTGCAATCCAATTTTTCTGTCCATCTACACGGAAAAAATAAAAATCTGTGGGCATAAAAACAAGGATCCCCACTTCAGTTTTAGCAGTTATTTTTATATTATATTATATAATTTTTATTTTATTTTACTGGTTTACTGGATTCTTGTCTAGATTTTCTGTCCCCTAGATTTACTGGGATTCTTCTGTTTCCAATTTAGTTATTATTATTTTTTTCCTTCTAAAATTCAAGACAAATTAAAGATCTCTCGCCACCATTAAAAAAGAGAGGGAAAGCAACTTCCTTCTTTCTGTCTTACACAGTTCAGTTGAGGTCACTAAGTATTTTGAATTTTAAAGCGTGAATTTTGAGGTTTTTTTACTGATCTGAAATGATGTTTTTTTTTTGGACAGAGGTTGTCTGAAAATTTAGACGAGAAAGAAAGATGCCGGGATCGGAGACAGGAGTGATGCCAAGCAGGGAGCCTTTTGGCGTGACAGGACTCCAACAAAAAACAGCGGTACAGTCACAGCCGTTCATACGAAACATGCGTTTAGACTTCGGTGCTGACGGTACTGCTGTTTACAAACCGATAGCCACCGTCACTACCACTTCCGCGGCGTCACCTACCTACCCGCCTGGAGGAGGGGAAGGACCAGCTGGTGGTGCGGTGGTATCTCCTCACGGGATTAATGTGAATATGGGAGGAGGGAGTGGAGGAGATTCAATGAAAAGAAAGAGAGGGAGACCAAGGAAGTATGGGCCAGATGGCACTATGGCATTAGCTCTCGCATCTGCACCTCAGTCTGTTGCTGCAACCCAGCCAACAGGTACAGCCACTGGAGGTGGTTTCTCTTCTCCTCCTCCCCCCCCACCTCCCGGATCTGATATTGGTTTCGTTGGTGCTGCTGGTGTTGCTTCCCCCCCTGTCAATCAAGGAGGATCAGTGTCGCCAACTGGGGTGAAGAAAGCCAGAGGGAGACCTCCTGGTTCCAGCAAAAAACAGCGACTTGATGCTCTGGGTAATGACTACTGACTGCTATATTTATCTTTTTTTAATAAATCTTATAATATAATTATAACATAGTGCGTGTGTGTAGTTTTTATTAAAATCAAATCGATCATGCTGGTCTGGTCTTGCTTCGGTGATTATTATTATTATTATTATTGTTTTTGTTTTTGTTGTTTTTTTTTTACAGCTGAGATGCAACAAGTAAAAGTAAGAGGATGATATTAAGGATTGATTAAGGGATATTGGAGGTTAATTAAAACTTAATAATACAAAAGGGAAGGTGATGTGGGTTGTGCTGGTCTTGAGATCCATTTCATATTTGACACGTGGTTGATTCGTATTGGCTTCACAATATTACTTGTCTACCCCTTATTTATTATTTTTTATATTGGAAAAATCCAATTATTTCTTTTAATTTTATTCCCCTACACAATTTATTGGTGGTGGATTTTTTTTTTATTGAAATAAAAACAATAAAATTCCCTCAAGTTTTTTCCTCATGATTTTTTTTTCTTAACTATATCTTCATGCTATATCTATCAGAGTAAGAATAATTCTTTTTGTTAATGCCATTGCAGAATGCTGCCAGCATAGTTTTTTTTTGCCCCTTCTTCCCTCTCTCTGTGTATTTGTCTCGAATTTAAGATATTTTCATTTTCATATAAATACTGTGCTGTAATTATTTGCTCGCATAAATTTTTCTTTTTGCAGGATCAGCTGGGTTTGGATTCACTCCACATGTTATCACCGTGAAAGCTGGAGAGGTCTATATATTGTCCTTATATTTTAACATTTTTTTTTCATTTTTTCTTTCTGCTTCTGTCTGGTAAACTTTAGTTGTTGATTGCTACTCATCATGACCCCATAATCTTTTTTTATAAAAATAAAAAAATTTATAGGCATTACCTTAACTTAATTCTGAGTTATTATTAGCTTAGATTATGTAGGCCGCATTGATAGCAAGGCATACTATATCATTACAATCTTTACTTTACAACTGTAACTACTTGTCTTTTCATGTTTCTTCCATTCGTGCCATTAGTGTCAGATTAAATTAACTGTATTGTTTGAAGCATGGATTGTTTGCTAATCTTTTAATTTACGTGTGTGTGTGTGTGTGTGTATTTATGTCCAAAAGTGGTTCCTTTACATTGATTTTCTTGTGTTCTTGAGTTACTATTGTTGATTAGAATTATATGCTAGATACAGCGGTGTGTCATTCTATAAAACCTAAGAAACTCTGTCGATGTAGCATGGTATTGTAGTAGGACAACCAACCTTTCCCTGATCCTAATCCCAAAGATAGAAAGAGGAAATGCTGTCATGCTTATAAATTTGAATATAATAATAGTTATGTATTTCAGTTAGAAGTTCCTTTTTTCATCATGTTTCTAAGAAAGAGTTCACAGAATCATGTGTTATGCTGTGTTATCATGGATATATAAAGTCAGGTTTTCATAGCTTTTATTTCCTCATAGAAACAGTTTGGTTTTCTTTCCAACTAATTGTTTTGTTGTTCTTTTGTTGTTAAACTTGTGCTTATCAGTCTGTAGTTTATCTTAATAATTGCTGATTGACTTTTATTTATTCCTTTCAAGGATATCTCTACGAAAGTTATGTCATTTTCTCAGCATGGTCCAAGGGCTGTTTGTATCTTGTCAGCAAATGGTGCCATATCTAACGTAACTCTTCGCCAACAGGCCACATCTGGAGGGACTGTAACTTATGAGGTGGGTAACGTTGCAAAACTTCAGTTTAAGTTTCCCACCAATAGAAATTGCCCGAGAATTAATAATAATAGTTTTTTTTTTAAAAAAAAAGTTCTTAGAAAGTTGAAGCTAAAACTCAATGATACTGTAATCTGTGAATGGATAGGGACTTTAATGTTCTTGTTCAAAGTGATAATTTGATTTGATTCTCTGTTGGGAGGCATAGAAAGATATCTGGGCTGTGAGCTGTAAGAATCAGTTTCTTAGTTTCGAATTCCTGCCCAACTTATTCATGCAACTTGATGATTCATATTCATGAAAGTAGATGATTCACGATCACAAGGGCTCACTTTATGCTGCTCCTTGTTTTCTCTTGAAATTACCATTTGTATTAGAGAACAGATAGGTCCAGGATAGATGGCTGCAATCTTTAAACATGTACAGAGAATGAATGAAATTTTCTTACAATGTGAGTTCTTTTATGGAAATTTTGCTTTTCATTACCATGGCATTGCAGGTCAATCTGTTTCCATGTACAGCTGTTTCAATTGATTACTGGAGACAATTTTCATTGCTGATTGTTAGAATTCAACATCAGCTATGACTTAGAATTTAGAGCTTGTAAGAATTGTAAGATTGTTAGAATTCTGCAATACTAGATCATTATCTATTAGAGTTTTATCATTGTTAGGAGTTAGATAGTTGCTTAGTTTTCATCTTAGTTAGATAAGGATAAAAGTCATAGTCTAAGTAGGACTCGTAATGCTATATATAGCCACCTTAAACATTCAAAAATATATATAAGAAAGCGTTAGAAAATAATAAAGGGGGAGTGTTAGCTACCGTGTTTTTCTTAGAGCAAAACCAACGTGAGTTTTGCTCAACAATTGGTATCAGAGCCTATAGATTGAAAAGGAGGACCAATAGGTTGGGAAGAAGAAAAGGCACAAGCGAAGCAGCAATGTCGTTGGCATCTCTCTTGAAACAGTGACAGAAGCAAGATTTATTTTACAAAAGCTTGGAGAATAAACCCGAGGTAGCAGTGGCCTCCCGTAACAATGAAACAATCCAGCAGCTATGCTTGTTGTCCAGCAGCTTGTAGCAAACCTGGCAGACATTAATGCCAGCAACAGTAGTCTATGACAAGCAGATCAGGTTCCAGGCTACAGCTTTCTCATTCTTGGGCAGTAGCTTGTAGCAGATGATCCAGCAGTAGCAAGCAACGTAGCAAGCAAATTAAGACAGCAGACTTCAGCAGTTGACAAACATGAAAGTAGCAGTGAGAACACAGACATGTAGTGGTAGCAGTGAATCTTGCAGCACCGAAACCACAACAAGTACAAAGGCATAGACAACAACAATAGTTTCCTTGTAGTAGCATACCATATAAGCAACAAGTCAGCAGCACACACCAGCCAAGACAACAGTAGCATAGGCAGTAACAGAGACAGGAGATCTTCAAATTGTTGGAGGGATTAAGAAGCTTAACAATCAGAATTACAGTACATGGTCAACATGCATGATGTCTTACATGCAAGGCCAAGATATGTGGGAAGTAGTCAACAACAATGAAAACACAACCAAATGGAGGTCTGTGCAAGTAAAAGATTAAAGTCGGTAGGGCAGTGTTTGCCTTGAAAACCACGATTGAAGAGGATGTGTCGGAGCACATTCGAGATGCTACAACGCCAAAAGAAGCATGAGACACCCTTGCTTGTCTTTTCTCAAAGAAGAATAATGCTAGATCGCAACTTCACGAGAATGAGTTGTTGTCGATGACACAATGAGACATGACGATTCCTCAATGCTTTAATAAGGTGAAATCAACGTGTCATGAGATTTTCAAATTAGAACTTGAAGCAGCTATTGGTGAAACAAGGATGAGAAGAATAATCATCCATGATTTAAAACCCAAATATTGGAGTTTTGTTGTTGTAGTACAAGGATCGCATATTGAACCATAATTAGTTGATTTTGAAAATTTACAGATCAAGAAAATATAGCAAAGCAAATTGCAGGAGTCTTGTTGAAGGGTGAAGGGAAAGCACTCTACATCAATTACAATAGGAGTAAACAGTGGAATACTCGCAAAGATAGAAACCACAATTGGCACATCGATAGTGAATCCAATAAAGATAATGATAAGGAAAATAATTATCGAAAGGAAGGAAAGCTTTCATCAAGGTGGAGCTTCAAAGAATTATAGCAATAGCAAAAGATTTGAAGGTAAATGCTATAACTGTGGAAAAAATGGTCACATGAAGAAAGATTGTTGGTTTAAGAAGTCAACAAAAAACAATGTTGCTATTTTAAGTTTGGAAAAGCAGGTTGAAAATGAATGAAATGGTTCGGCATTATTTGCCATAGAAAAGGAAGAATTAACATTGATAACTACAATCAAAGATTGAATTAATTATGAAAGTGATTGGATTGTTGACTCTGGGTATTCTAATCACATGACAAGTGATAAGCAAAAGCTACAACATTTGACTAAACACAAAGGAAGCCACCAAAACTCATGATTACACTTGAAGGAGAAGTAGGGAGAAAGATTCACTTCTTGTGCACTCACAATACAAGAAAGATGTTAGATGTATATTTGTGGGATATGATAGCCAAAGGAAAAGGTGGAAATGTTATGATCCTACAACAAGAAGGTTCTATATAGCACGAGATGTGGTGTTTGATGAGATGAAGCATCATCTTGGTGGTCTTTAGATAAAAGGATGATTCTGGATTCCAAAGAGTTTGAAGAAAGGCTACAACAACAGAATGATGAATAAGCTATACAGGTTCAATCAAGTTCAAAAAAACTTAAAAGGAGTATATGATGATGTTATTGAAAAGCAAGGAATTTATCATAATCCTTGGCATAATGGTGTCTATCAATAACAATTAGATGAACCTTGTACAATAGAAGAATCACCTCCACAAACGCATCTCAGAAGATCAACGAGAGTTCATAAGCCAAACTTTAAATATGCCAATGCAGCCATAATTGAAGAAGAAAGTGAAAAGGAACCTGAAACATTTGAAGAATCATCGGATAGCTTTGAATGGATTAAAGTGATGAAAGAAAAGGTCATTTTGCTAGAACAAAATCAAACCTAAGATGTTGTGCCTAAACTAAAAGATGTGAAACCTATATCTTGTAAATGAGTTTACAAGATTAAGCATTGAGCAAATGGATTGATTAAAAGGTATAAAGCTTGTTTGGTGGCTTGCAAGTTCTCACAGTAATTTGGTTTGGACTATGATGAAACATATAGCTAGTAGCAAAACTCACAATTGTACGAGTTTTACTTGCATTTGCGACAAACAAGAACTGAAGACTATGGCAGATGGATGTGCGGAATGCATTTCTTCATGGGGAGTTGGATCGAGAAATTTACATGAATCAACCATTAGGTTTTTAGAGTAAAGATCATCCTGAGCATATGTACATCGAGAAAGGCATTATACGAAATAAAACAAGTATCAAGAGCTTGGTATGGTAAGATTGTTGAATTCTTTTTTCAAAGAGGATACTCAGTAACACCTCCATATTCCATCTTGTTTGTGAAATTCATTGAAGGAAAGGTAGCTATTGTATTAGTTTATGTGGATGATTTGATCATAATCAGTGATGACGAATAAGAAATTCTCCAAACAAAAGAGAATTTGTTAGTTCATTTCAGATGAATGAACTTGGAGAACTCAAGCATTTTCTTGGGTTGGAGGTTGATCGTACATAAGAATATTTGTTTGCCAACAGAAATATTCAAGAAATCTATTAAAAAGGTTAGGAATGCTTGGTTGCAAGCCAGTTTAACACTAATGGAACCCAACGAAGGAAAAGACTTAGCATATGCATCAATGTATCAGCAATTGAGAGGTAGTTTGATCTACTTAACCTTGACTAGATTGAATATTTTGTATGAAGGTGGTGTAATGAGTCGTTGCATGCAAAATCAAAAGAAGTCTAATGTGGAAGTAGTTCGAAGAATGTTGAGACATGTGAAGAGTACAATTGGCTATCGCATTTCATACAAGAAAACGTACAAATTGCAACTTGGTTATTGTGATGCTGATTATATAGGAGATCGTGACACTCGACAATCTACAACTGGTTATTTATTTAAGATTGGTGTAGTAAGGGACAACCAATAGTATCCTTATCAATAACAGAAGCACAATATCAAGTAGTACTTATGGCAACTCAATAAAGTACTTGGTTGATACAGTTGATGAATGATTTGCACCAACAAGTAGAGTATTAAGTAATGTTATATTGTGATTATCAATTAGTAGTTCATTTGACAGAAAATCCAGTGATTCATTTAAGGACAAAACATGTGGAAATACATTATCATTTAGTTAGAGAAAAATTATTGCAACAAGAAATTGAGATGAGATTGATCAAGATAGATAAACAAGTTGTAGGCTTATTTATAGAAGGCTTAAGCACTTGTAAATTTGAATCTTTTCAGCATCATCTTAATGTAGTAAAAACAAGGGACATATGATATTGAGAGGGAGTGTTAGAATTCAACATCAACTAGGACTTAGAATTTGAAGTTTGTAAGAATTCTAAGATTGTTAGAATTCTGCAATGCTAGATCATTATCTATTAGAGTTTTATCATTGTTAGGAGTTAGCTAGTTGATTAGTTTTCATCTTAGTTAGTTAAGGATAAAAAATTAAGTCTGAATAGGGACTCGTAATGCTATATATAGTCACCTTAAACATTTAGAAATATTTATAAGAAAGCATAAGAAAATAATAAAAAGAAAGTTTTAGCTGTTTTGTTTTTCTTAGAGCAAGATCAAAAGTGAGTTTTGTTCAACATTCTAATCCACCTCTAACCAAATTCTTCACTCATTGTCTCTTTTCAAAATTTTTGCTCTTTCTCAATGCAGGGAAGATTTGAAATTCTGGCACTTTCTGGTTCATACCTGCCATCAGAAAATGGGGGTCAAAGGAGCAGATTTGGAGGTTTAAGCGTGTGTTTATCTGGCCCAGATGGACGGGTGCTAGGTGGAAGTGTAGCTGGTCTTCTAGTGGCTGCAGCCCCAGTACAGGTCAATTTGCTATTCTCTTATCATTATAGTTTTATAATGGCATTTTTGGAGGAACTAAGGAAATGATGTGCTCGTCGTCCAAGTATGTCTCTACACACTTGCACTTCCTACGAGTTCATTTTATGTGTTACCTTTGGGTTTTCCTTCTAATTCTGCAAAATTTTGTGGGACACCATAATAGTTGAGATCGGATTTACAATGAATCCCTCTGCCCTACGTTCTTCTTTAGATGTTCATTCCAAATGATGGAATGCAATTTCCAATTTGGAAAGCATATTAACCATGGAACCATTCCAAATTAAAGCAAATTAATATCATTTGTTAACTATAAGTGGAATATTTTATCAATTATTTATGCAAGGCTGAAAATTGTGAAGACAATTTCACTGTAGTTTTAAGCAGTTTATCTTTACCTCCTAGAATATCTGATCTTGTAAAAGTTACATTCGATTGCAGCGTATTCCTTGATATTTTCATCAGAATTTCCCATGTAGTCATATCTTTGTATCTTGTTACATGTTAGCGTTCACTAGCAGTCATTTTGTGATAGTTTTATCAGGGATGCTTGTGAGGCACTGTCTCTATGTGTTTGCACACACTCGCCGTGTCAAAAAATAATTTTAATCCAAAAACTTAAGCTAACTTTTACATACCCACCATTACTTTACATGTTTTTGATACCATGTCAAATAATCTTTTCAACCAATTTTCAACTAATTTTAAGTTGTTAGGTGAAGCTTGGAGAGTAATTTTTATTACTCTTTAACAATGAGCACTTGAGCTTGTTGATACTTGAATACTGCTTTTCTGACAATTTTTACCCAGCATCAGTGTGTCTAACAGCAAATGATACTGAGCCATCATTTTCATTGCAGGTAGTTGTGGGTAGTTTCGTTGCTGATGGTCGCAAGGAATCAAGGACAGCAATCCACACTGAACCATCATCTGCAACATCAAGGCTTCCTCCAAAAGGTGGATCGACTGGGGTGAGCAGCCCACCATCACGTGGGACTCTCAGTGAATCATCGGGTGGTCCTGGGAGTCCACTGAACCAGAGTACTGGAGCCTGCAATAACAGTAACCCACAAGGCATGTCAAACATGCCATGGGAATAAATCCTTTCAGCTTCAGGTTTCTAATTTGTGTAGAAGGCGTGGACTCTAATGAGGTCTGGAGTCTCGTTTGTAATTTAAGTCATGTGTTAGTCAAAATAAGACTACAGAATGTAACTTGGTTTTGCTTGGTGGATAGGGTCAATTAGGTTGTGAGATGTTGTGAGGTTGTGAAGTCGTTTAGAAGGCGTTAGATTGAGATGATTAGCTTGACTTGTGTTGACTTATGGTGGTAGTAGTAGGCTTCTTCTTGCTGCAGTTATCGTTGCCCATATTGAATGGATATCAATCCTTGTTTACCTGACGAACAAGACCTTGCAGTTGCTAGTTTTAATTTAAGATGGTGTCGACATATGTTCTTCATTCTTCATGTCCATGAATTTTCTCCCTATAATTTTTTTCTCTTGGGATTGCTGTAACATTTTACATTGAAAGAAGAATGTTCAGATTTGGTAGATTCGGTATATTAAGGCAGTTGGTATTTAACTTTGTAAGATATGTTTTGAGGCTTGCTGGTTATTAGAAACAAAATTGTAAAGTATGAAAGTTAGGTTGTTGCAAAGTGGAAGTGGGTTAGATATTTTGCAAAGTGGAAGTGGGTTAGATTTTACGTATGATATTAAAGTCAAGGATAGTTTATTTTTAAGGTAAAGAAATTGTAACATTTTACATTGAAAAAAAATTGCAAAAAAAGTGTTCAGAGTTAAGGTATATATTTAATCGTATTTAATATATATTTAATCATATTTAATTTTATAAGATGCATTTTGGGTTTGTGGGTTGCTAAAATTAAAATCATGAGACATGAAATCTAGATTAAGTTCAATCATAATAAATAATATTCTATAAAAAAAAAAAAATGTAGGTTGAGCCTTATAACTGCGAAGTTCAATCATAATAATTAATATTCTATAAAAAAATGTAGGTTGAGCCTTATAACTGCATATACTCAAATATCAAATAACTGTATATCCTCAAATATCAAATAGAAATATCAAATAGCTCAACAAGCTTACTGAATAAATAAATAAAAAGAGTATAAAGGAGGTTCATTAGTGGGAATTTTAATTCCTACTTCCCAGGCATTGTTGGAGAAGTTCAAGCTTACCCAACAATGAAAGTGGAATCAGTTTAATTTGGCCTGCACATGAGCTTATTTGTGGAGTTAGTCGAGTTTTATCTGATCGATTGAAGCACCAAATCGAACTAATAGGCCTAGGCCTCACATCTTAGAGCTTGCCTCTACATTTTCCCACAAAAGGGAAAACAAGGTCGTTTTAAAATGAAACAAACTTCAACAGAAAAGGCAATGAAAAGAACCCGATGGCAAATGTTTGCCAAAACCATGCTCTTGCGTTTGCAGGATGCAGCCTTCTTGTCATTTACCATGCATATAAAGCCTCACCCATATGGGCTGCCATAGAAAAAACGAACACTGCCCTGTGTCTCCTAAAAGTGGCACCGGTCCTATCTCTGGCAAGTAGCAGTACCGAAAAATGGAATCATTCCAATCACAACATAGAGCCATGCATATATGGTATGTCGATACAATGTCTTCCTTTTCCTCTCCTGCCAGTATGAGATAGTGGCAGCCATGGCTTTCAGGAACGAGTAGTGGGTCACTCCAACCTGCTTGAAGTACACTCAGCAATACAGTGATTACAATATCAGAAACAGGCATATCAATCAAATCCATCATTTTCATAGAACAGCAAAGAAAGAAAAGAAACCTTTTTTTCTGTAGTATAATTGTGCATAACTTGCAGCCTCTTTGACTTGATTTCCAGGCATGCAACCAGCAAGAATGTTGAGCAGAAAATACGATATTTTGAAACTACCTTGTACACTTCAGCAGGAAGTATCAATGGCAGAGGAAGCCACCGTTGGTTCAACCACAGGTATAAGACTATATAGATAGCCCAGAAAATCATTCCAGCGTAAGAGCATGAGGAACAGAAAAACTATCCTTCGGTACATCATAACCCAGCCTTCTAAGCAGTACTGAAGGAATTCAAAACTGTTGATCGGAGGCCCTGAAAAGGTAGCAGGTTAGTTCCTTAATCCATTTCCACCGAAAACATCATTCTATCTATTGAAGCCAATTCATCTCATGTTGTCAGCTTTTCATTCAGGATTAAAATATGGCTGGCCAGCGGCTACTGGATGCCCTCCATTATTAGGAACGTCATCCAAAAGTCCCATGCCTGCCAATATCAGTACAAGCAAGGTTATCCACATAAAACCAGTCTGTTTTCACATTTACATTACCAACTTTGGAAGGCAGAAGACCTAACTTGGCAAAGGATATGATCCTTGGAAAGCGCCTTTCTTCGCCCAGTCCATAGATAGCAGCAGGGCGAATCACATATGTACAGGGATGTTTTCCATTGTTCTTCCTGTACAGCCCATAAAACTATTTTCCTATTATGAAAACTAGATAGTTACGGCTGAATGCCTTTCAAGTTCTAAATCATCCCCCTTTTCTAGCTCAACATTGTCAGATGCTACCAACGAAGAAAGACTAATCAGCTTTACTCCACTTTTCCGAGCAGTTCTCTTCATCCCAGAAAAATAGAGATATGCATAACAATAGAATCACAGGGACTATGGGACATGAGGAATCTTGAGAAACATTTACTCACTTGAAGGACGAGCGTTCTGCTTCAGAAGCAATTGTTTTATGCGATTGATTTGCTATGCCGGTATGGATCAACATGGTCATCAATAGGCAAGTACGGTAAGCTCTCGTTGCCATTCACAATCTCCTTTCCACCAAATACAACATTATTTGTGCCCACATAAACCGGAGCAGTTCTTTCCCCAACATGCCATAAGAAGCAAGGTGGAAAACACAATCGGCCCCACGTAAGGCTTTATCAACATCTTGTTTTCGATTAAGATCCCGTATATCATCACAATCTTGGTAGCTTAGCAGGTTGCAAGACATACAAAAATCCAAGCGACTTGTCCTAGCAGTTAAGAATGAATTCAGTGAATGCTTGGTTTAAAGTCTAGATCAAATAATTATTGATAGAAATCCATAAAAAAAGAATGTATTGATGGAAATGCTCTTAAAATTCTTGCTAAGTGACTGAATTCACTACTTGGGACCTTAAAATTGAATCGTTTACTATTATTCACTAAATTGATTAATGTTTACTAGATCTTTTCAATTTAATTCTGATTTGCTCATAATCAAAAGCAGGGGGGTTGCCAAAATACTAAAAAAGGCAGGAATTCATGAATGATTGGCTGGAATAAATAAAGGGTGATGGAACGCTGAATGGAGTGAACTCCATGGCAATTGAGGTCATCAGACCATGGAGAAGTAGGCCCCAAATCAAAGGCTCGCTCCTCGACGGACCAGCTTCAGACACAAGGCGGATCCCACGAAGCTCAATCCACCAGTGACCACGAACGTGCTGTCTACTTCTTACACAGGGACACAACGGTGCATCAACTGCTAAGGGTCAACTGTGGACTCAATCAGTTTAGGAAAAACTACATATCAACTTTAAATGGTCATCCTAGTAATTAAGGAAGTATACTCATTTCTTTAGTTTTTTTAATTCAAATTTTAGGGTTAACATCCGACAATATTTATTAAATTATCTAAATGCACGACTTCTGTCGAGGTACGCCTATGAGATTATCTGAAAAGGGACATAGTATTAGGTGACGCGTAAACTAGTCTCAAAATATCCTTATTCTTAATCCAAAAGAAATTGTGAGAATATTTCTTTGTCTAATTCTCAATTGGACATCATGCGGCTGAGTTTCTATACAGAATTTGAATGGGACAGAGACAAGGGGGTTGCAAAAAAAGATTCATTTTCACACTTAATCCCAACTGGACATCACGAAATCGACACTTTCTTTTCTTCTCCTGGGCACCAAATTTTCATTTCCATTGCATTGAGTTAACATTAACAAAGAAGACACTTGGACAATAAAAAGAAGAAAAGATAAAGGAAAAGAAAGAGTATGGCTCTGCAAAATTCAGGACTCTTCTATTTCACTCTATGTATCATCATTCAACATGTAACAGTTCCTTTCAAAAAGAAAAGGGGAAGGGGAAGGGGAAAGGGAGAGGAACAATAAAATATGAAGGCACAAGTCACAATCTTGGTATATGTTAAAAAAAAAGAAGAAGAAGGAAAAGAAGTAAAATAGTCTTAGAAGAAGTTGAAGTTGAAGTTGTTGAATCTCAAGCTTCCATAACTCGCACTTGCATAAACACTGAGAAGCTCATCTTGGGTAGACCAGAAATCCGCTTTAAGACCACCTCTTCTTATGGCTTTAAGTATTTTGTTCCTGTGTACATATCCAGTGACCATCACTTTCTGACTACTAACATCCACCTCCACTTTCTCTATTCCTGAAGGTAAAATGAATAACTTAAGCAAGGTAGTATCGAAACTGTATACAATTAATCACATAAAAATATTAGATCAAAGAGAGATCTAGAACAAACTCAGTACCTTTCAATTTTGACAGGCATTTCCTCAGTCTTTTCTCATGCATGCCAACCATCTCCACCTTCAATTCGACAGTCTGCAAAATGACATTACATGCCTCAATTAATATAAAATGATAAGGTAAAGGAACATACATGAAAACGACAGCTGGCATTGTTCCTTGAAATTTTTCTGGGAGAGTGATGGTGTATCAAGGACACTTAATGTACACTACTTTTCCTTTAATAAAGGGCACTTCCCCCAATGGTAGCTAAGAATTTCTCTTTTCCCGTATGTATCTTAGAGGTTTCTCCAAACTAGGATAAAGCACTCCCTTCAAGATTAAAATGGTTATCGAGAATTTAGTAGATGTTCTTGTTTAAAGGTCGTTTATTGAAAATATTAAAATAATATATTTTTTATTTTTTATAATAATATATTAAAAAAATATAAAAAAATTTAAAAAATTATTTATTTAATAAAAAAACAGATTGAAAATACTCTCAGACACTTTCACAACACTGTATACCAGCAGTCTATGTTTTGCCAGCAAAAATAAAATAAAAAAGTCGATGTTTTTAGCTAACGTTGTCGACTAAGTAAAAGATTGTGGTCGAAAGACAAAATCTTAATTTAGTGGGATTTGCCTTGGTTGATGAAAAATTGAACCAGTTTTAGTTGGCCTTCGAACCATTTCTAGGACATGGATCTTCATTGGCATGAGAGAACTTATTTCGGGTGACTAGTGAGCATGAAAGGACCAAGATTTTGGTGGCATTTGAGAAAAGGAACTGTCTTAATTCTAAATTTCTAAGATATAAAGAAACGTTCATAATAAAAAACTGCATGAAGCAAATCAAGAAAGGGAAAAGAAATGGTACCTCCATGAAGAATTCTGATTGGAAATGATGATAGGATAATGATCTAGAGACGATGAGATAAAAAGGGAAAGAAACAAACAAGGACAGGATATAAATGGAACGATGAGCTGGCGAATGAATGCAACAGAAGAGGAATGCCAGGCTCTTATATAGCAGGGGGAGAGTTGGGGTGGGGGACATGAAAAAAGATGGAATAAACAATAAAGTATGTTTCTAGTCTTCTGCTTCCAAGGACCCGATGAAATCATCTGCTTTACTTTTTCAAAGAGAGACAGCCACATAGACATGGCATGTAAGCCAGACAATTTGAACACCGTCAGGTACTGAGAAGTGGGCTCAAAGATCCAAGACTCAGAAAAAGAGAGTAGTTCCCTCTGCCCAAAGCAATGTGAGTTTCAAGCATTTTAAATGATTGGGTTTGACGAGTCCAACCAAGTTGCCTTTATGTTCATGTGGGGATGGCAATTGGCAATGAGGCAAATTAGGATTAGGAAACCTGAAAAGATTCACAAGCAGATCTTGACCATCCATGTAATCGAACAATTTGGTAAACTCATGATCGATTCCTGGTGGGTCCAAGCTCTGGTGTTACCATGTTCTTTTCTTGACGGAGCACACTTGTTCCTCATCAATGGCATGGGTTCCTAAGATACCCATTTTTATAAGAGAGTTATGGTAGTTTCCCATTTATACAGGCTTCATACTTGTCTATAACGAGGGCTCGAACATAAGGTTCCGAAAACGAAAAGGAGAGTGGCAAACCACACAGCAAGTTTGGTATTTTTTAGCTTTGCCCTTGATAGATCGTTTTCTTTCTCTTTTCTTCAAGATGAGGCAATCATTTTTTTTTTTAATGTAAACATATTCAAATCATAAAAAAAAATACTGAAAAGATACTGATTTAATGTTTTTTCAAATTTAAAATATTTTTAAAAAAATAAAAATAAAAACAAAAACTATATTAAACAATCATGCAACTCGGTGCATCACAGACTACACAGAAATAAAAAAATTAAATCATGTTTGATGTTTTTACTAATTAAACTTAAATGCAACCGCAGTACGTACACTGTGTTGACAAGAAGCAGCCATCTGTTTGTTTTTAAACGTAGATGCAGCCCCAAAATACATCACGTTTGCAAACGAGCACTAAAGAAATACAGGAAGCAGCCGGCAGTTGTTTGTGCTTTTAGAAGGACGGATGCGGGGAGCCCGGGAAGATTCTCAATCTGGGATGCTCGGAATCGGGGTGAAGAACATGCATTGGAATCAGGGTTAAGAACATGCATTGGAATCTGGGATCTCTCGAATTTTAATTGCAAGTACATTTCTCGAGAAACTCTACACATCTTTCGATCCTGGTCATACTTATCTTGCACCTTTTTTCAGAATTGTTATAGCAGTGTAGTGCTTTGGGATCCCGAGTATCAGTGTCCCAAATGACAAGCCACATTCTCAGCTCCGCAGACAAAAATTCTGCTAAAGCACATGATGTCTATAAAAAAAAAACAAAGCCACTTCTTAGATGTTCGAAGATTTAGGGTTGACTAATAGTATATTGAAATGTGGTTAAAAATGTATTTTCTCTTAATTATAAGAAATTTTACATGGTTTTAGCTGAAATATTTTTTTAAAAATTATAATTTATAGTTTTTTTTTAAAAATAAATTTAAAAGCCACTATAATTTCAAATACATAATTACTAGAAAAATTAGGTCCAATGAGAAAATTTCAATCCAACAACTTTTTTTTTTTTGAAATAGTCTATCGGAACCAAACCAGTACTAACTAATCATATAGTTTTGAATCACACAAACCCAATTTGTGTAATATTTTTTGAAAAATTAAAAAGTAGGTTTATTCCAATTAATTGATTAACCCAATTTGAAAAAAAAATATTAGAGAAAGTATTTAGATAACTATTAAGTTTTAGGGTAATACGAGAAATTTTAGATTATCCTAGCGAAACTATAAGAAAAAAACACGTTGTCAACATGCTAAAAGATGCTTATTTTACACTAGTATTATTAAACTCACTAGTATTATTAAACTCAACTTATTTTAATAGGTTAATTGAATGATTTATTGATTTAACTTTTAATTCAATAAAATTTTAATTTTAATTAAATGAGAATTAACTCAATAGATTATATTAAAATTAAAAAGTACATTATTTTAATTTTTTTAAGAAACAATTATGAAACAATATTATTTTAAATTTATTTAAACTGATCTTTGCAACTCATAACCTAAATATTATACCGAATCATGAAATGGTCTAGGTTTAGTAACTATATCGTTTGCTAGCAGCCTAGAACATGATGACAGGTCATCTGTGCCCTTGTCCAGGAATGACAAGTCAGAGTAAGCTTGACAGACAGCCAGTCACCTAAAAAAGGAAAAAAACTACACGTCGTCTAATCATGAAAGTGCAGCAGCACCGAGTTATAGATAGCAGCTTCTTGAGTGGGTTCTTTCGAAGGAACTGTTTTTGATGCTAGTGGAAACTGAAAATTCACCAAGCAAATGATTTGCTTGCTTTCAGCTGATTCAAACCCTAAATCCATGTTCATGCAGCATCCATAATGGTGGAGCTGTATCCATGAACATTCATCTCTGCAAACCAACATTTCTTGAACTGTGGTGTTGAAAAGGTAACACTATGCTCAAACTTGTTACTCTCTTACTTGTCCTTGTTTTTCATTTTTGAGGTTTAAAATGGAATATTTATGATTATAGTAGAATAACGGAGCTTCCCTTTCCTAAACGTTCTTTGAATTTTCATCTCTGCTTATTGCTAGAGAGGAAGCCGTTTGCCCCATTGAGAAAGAAGTCAGTTTGAGTTTAAAGTTTTGATTAAGGATCAATGTAAGGTATCATACATGAAGAGTTGATTAAATTCATGCAAAGAAGGGCAATCATTTTGGATTTTTGTTCTTACGTAGCTCACAAATTGCTCAACCTAGACCTTCACTTCAATTGATTTCTTCAACAAACACGAAACATTTGTTGATGTCAAAGACAGGGAAAAAGATCATGTTTTATGACAGTAGATATATGCTAATTGAAAAATTTTCTCTGACTTTTCTGTAAATTAATAAGAAATGAAAGCATACATATCATATCTATTACTGTATTGCTACTATCTCACATTAATTAACCTCTCATTCCTGTGTTGATAAGTGCACAGAGTCTAGATGTAAAAGAACCTTAGCTTGAAACATGGATGTCGAAGAGAAGAATGCTCCTTTTAGACGATTTGTTAACCCACCATCTGGTGACCAGCATCTCTTGCTTAACTTCATCATGAGCATTCTTGGGTCCTGATGTGTACTCTGATAACCCAAGATGTTCAGCTGCTCATGGAATAGCTAAAGGGTTACCACCATATACTTCAAACAAGCTGGGTGACTTATTTCTCCGTGTTTCTGAATTGGAGAGCTCGTGTTACTGTCCTCAGAAATGCTCATCCTAGCCTGGTTTTGAATCCAAATAGGTTGTGCTTTTTATCTTAAAGGCAAGTTGCATTTTTTGTCAGGCTCAGGGGCACTACAGGACTGTAAAGTTTTTCTTACTTAAGAGTACTTGTGGTCATAGGAGGTACTCAGCAATCCATGAAATTTTGATGGGGATTGTTCTTATTGAGAATCCAAATACATCTTACATGAGAAAAGAGGACCTGGAAAGGTTCAAATACTTGTCTGGCATGGATAGTTTGAAGATTGATAATAAAGAAATGCCTATGCTATGAGCATGGATCCCAGAAAGGTGGAGAAGAAACTGAGCAAACATTCATGCCAATCGTGAGAAAATTGCGGGCACTATTTCTTCTAGACATGAGAAACCACCAGCAATGTTAAGGGGTCCCCTTTGCAACCTTCCAGTGCCAGCACTGAAGAAAGCACTCTTGGGAGGAGCTGCAAATTGGATGAGTCCACCTTCTGTTGCTTTTCCTGAATTCGAAGATTATATCAGAGATGAATCTGTCATTTTGACTGGCCGGGCAAGAAGGGGGTACCTGGACCACCAATCAGAATTGTTGATGTAGGCATTAGCAAAGCTGCATAGTTTAAAGAAATGCCTATGCTATGAGCATGGATCCCAGAAAGGTGGAGAAGAAACTGAGCAAACATTCATGCCAATCGTGAGAAAATTGCGGGCACTATTTCTTCTAGACATGAGAAACCACCAGCAATGTTAAGGGGTCCCCTTTGCAACCTTCCAGTGCCAGCACTGAAGAAAGCACTCTTGGGAGGAGCTGCAAATTGGATGAGTCCACCTTCTGTTGCTTTTCCTGAATTCGAAGATTATATCAGAGATGAATCTGTCATTTTGACTGGCCGGGCAAGAAGGGGGTACCTGGACCACCAATCAGAATTGTTGATGTAGGCATTAGCAAAGCTGCATAGTTTTTTTCAAGTTGCTCTTCCTGGTGTGCGGATTGATTCTTGTATGTCTTTCTGCTGCCCATCAATTTTCTTTGATGTATTCATGCTCTTGTACAATCAGTGCTGTGCTAATTGTTTCGCCCTATGTTGTCGAGCATGCAACAAAGAAACTCTAATGTTCTTCGGAGTTGGCACATACTGCATGCAAAAATTAGCATATTAAGCAAAAAGCAGATCATGTCCCCATCTCTTTGTTGTTCTCATTTTCTCAAAAACTGCAGCCATTTTGCTTGAGTTGTTGCTTTCCTAGCAATATTTTTCAGAACATAATGTGTCTTTCCTTTAACAGATTGGTTTTTTATTATTATTTATAAATCACACTATTTTTTAGTACCAAATCAGAGCCGAAACTCAGTTAACAATGCTCAAATCTATTATGGTAGATGAGATTCAAGCTCTTAACTCGATTAGGGAATGTTCTATAAAGAGTTTAACAATGCTCTAGTTTTGTTTTTAGTACCAAATTACCGACAATTAATTATTCATTTTGGTAGCTAAAAATAGCAAATTAAGTCGGATTGTGCATGTCTTCCCGAAAAAAGAAAACAAATTGAATTATCTCTTGCTCGAGTGTTTTTTTGGTAAGGAAAATTCTCCTTGCTAGCAAAACATGGCATCATTCAAGAACTTCACAATTAAATGAAATCTAAGAAATTTTATTGTTACTAAAAAACTTATTAGAAATTCTGCTAATTACATTGAATGAATTCATCTTGTGATGTGTCCATTTATATTAGCCAACCTTATTTATTTATTTTTATCAACATTTTAGGCAATTCCAGCACGACAACCTTTCATCGTGAAACTCGAAGACAGCGGGGCCACAATTTGACGTGGCATCCTTCTAACTGGTTCACGGCCACATATAATAACCATGTTGGAAGTGAAGAGGACCGACCAAAGTACTCCCACCAAACTGCACAGTGACAACACCAACTCAACAGTCACAGACGTCTGCTGTCCACCGCCGTCGACTATCTTAAAGGTAAAGTTTCCGGCTACAGCAAGGAATAAATATTAATTTTTCAATTCCATTGTTTTGTTTGGAATGATAAATTGATGTTCATGGACTGATTTATTGTAAAAATGGCGTCCATTTTCTCGTTTTCTGTTGGTTAATGCGACAGGAAGGAACAGACACTAGACTTGGCCTTAGCTAAAAGGCCTAGAAAAGCATCTTGCCCATAGATTTTCTGTTATTTTCTTTTTCTGAGTGAAAAGCCATCGTTTTTTATATATATATATGAGTTTGCCTCTGGTTGCTCAATTAACAATATGTGTCATGCATCATAAGTGCATTGGAGCTTTTTATTTATATAAGCTGAATTAGGTTATGTTTATTTTTTTCATGGCTCAATTGATGTAGACAGAGATTATGATAGGTGTTGAAACACTATAATCTTATTGGTATTAGGGTTCTTTAATTAATGGATAAATTAGAACATGGAAGGAAGATTTAGAGAAAGAGGGAAATAGTGATTATGAATGCAGTTTGCTTAGAAGTGGAATCGTTGCTTAGTTAATTCCATGAAATTTTATGCAAGGTTTTCTATAATTTGATTAATGGAAGTCATTTGGTTATCCATTCTTTAATTATGCCTCTTCGGATGTAAATTAGGGTTTCTTTCACAATTGTTTGGTTTTTCAGTTTTGTTCTTATGTCTAGCTATGCAAAAAGAACTCCTATTTTTGCCTTTCGTCTATTATCTGCGTTGTTTTCTAAATAACTGACACTTCTAAATTAAGATGTACTTATTCAGCTACCATCTAAAATAAGATTCTTGGATGAGTTCATAACTGAACATGCTATTTTGCTGTCTCTATTTATTCTGTGTTTATTAGATGCTCTGACATTTTGCGATTTCCAAATAATGACATGAATCTCATCGCTGTAGTTTCTTCCTTGTCTTATCGATTCCTATTTCAACTAGTTTACATTTGTTTTATCGTGGCAGCATTAGCATTCTTTTTGTGATAATTGTGTTGTTTGACTTAATGCTTTGGCAAACTTTTTGAAACATATCTTCTGCTGTTTCATTCAATGCCTGACAGAGAAAAAACGGCGAATGTTTTATTGAAACGACCCATCAGTTGAATTTAGTACCGAGGTGTCATTTTCATGGGCAAGGTATTTCAGCTATGTATATGTGATTGGGTTGGTTCTAGTGAAAGTGTCTTTGATCTTCTCTTCCGTTCTTCCTCAGTAATCTATATCTTTTAGCATGGCTTATAGGAAACATAAGAAACCTGCGTCACTTGCAATTTTTGCAATATTCACTGTAATCTTCAGGCCTCAAGTTCTGATTATCTGATGATTGTCTTTGAGTGCCTATGTTAGTCATCTTCTGCAATATTGTCATCTGAATACCATGCTCTCAAATAACAAATAGATTTGAAAATCTTATTGCTTGGGCTTCGTCCCCATCAGTGGAGCTATGGCTTTCATTTCGTGTTTGTTCGAAATTGCATCGTGAGCCAGCACTAGCTGAACCACACAGTGCAAAGTTTGGACCTTCACCATTCTTCTTTTATCATGGCTCTTACTCCAAGGTTTTGCTTGGGAATTGGCTGTCTGTTAAAACTGGAAATACTTGGGAATTGGCTGTCTGTTAGAACTGGAAATACTTGTGGCTCTATATTGTTCCTTTGTATAGGGAAAAATATTCCGAGGGCTAGATGTTTAAATATGGGACAGCCACTCTGGAGCTCGATTTTTCTTATGGATTCAAGATTTCCTTTAGAGACTGAATTATAAAATGGTTGACCTATTTGTTGTTTATCTTTCACTTGTTATCTACGCTCAGAAATTTCAGATATTAATATCCTCGTGCATGTCTGTGTTTCTTTTTGGTTCCCTATTCTCTTTTCCTGGGTCTTGGCAACACTTTAGGAAGTAAATCATTTTCCTGAACCTTTGCCTTTATAACCCCCCCTTTAAGCTAAAATTACTTATTCGATCCAAGAAAATTATTTTGTTGAATGCTTCTGGTTCTGCTAACCAACAAAAAATGATGCCATTGGTGACTGTAGATGGAACTGTGAATCGAAGTGGTGCTGGACCATCCAATTGTCTTGTTGACTTTGGCATCAATGAAAATGCTTATTTTTTCCGTGTTGTATTGCGCGGGATGCGGAGAAATGAAAGGAAGTTTCTAACCTCGGAGGTTGAGTAGCACTGGCTTATGCTGAGGCTTAAAGCGTTGAAGAATGGCTGCTCTTGTGATATAGCAGTTTACCCAGTCCATTATACTCGTCTTTGCTGGTAATTTATCATGTGAAATTGAACGTGATGGGACTGTTCACATAAAAGGTGTGGCAACCATTGATGCTGGAATTCTGAAAGATTCACCTGAGTCTTCCATATGAGTGTCTTGCAACTCTGCCCTCCAGGGCCCTTCACCATTTCTTTTAAACTGCCCGGGCCTGTTGACCCTCGACTCTTCTCCGCCCATTTCCGGAAAGATCAACGGTGATGAAATACAGAGTACCAAATCTTCCATCAGACTAGGCTCTACCTCTGTGAACTTTTTATCTGGAGCTTAATTGCACTATCCATGAACCGATGTAAACATAAACCAGCATGCTGTAAATCAGTAGGCTAGCCGAAAAAACTAAAAAAGAAAATGAGAAACATCTGAAGCAGGGCCATCTCTCACAATTAGCTGCAGAATGCACGACTAATCTAGCAAAAAATTGTCGTGTAGAATGCGACTAATCCCACGGTTTGCTTTCTTTGTGGTCTCAGGTTCGAGTCCTTGGTTGCTCATATGATAGCCATTGGAGGCTTACATGGTCGTTAATTTCAGGGCCCGTGAGATTAGTCGTGGTACGCGCAAGCTGGTCTGGATACCCACGTTAATCTAAAAAAAAAAAATTTGTCTTGTGCATGTAAATCAAACGGATCATTACATCATCAAGGATTACCAAACTTGGTTCTTTCTCTTTCCTTCAACATCTCTTACCTTTGGCTCTACCATAAATCCACTGGTTTTGAATCTGTCTTTCAATGTTGAGATTAATCGACCTCAACAAAAATATATTTTTTTAAGTTGGTCCAGGTATTTGAAATGAATTTGCCTTGTTGGTCAGCTTCAAAATTGAAAACGTGAACACACAACAATCAAATTTCTAATTCCTTATGTGCAGTGTGCTGACTCGCCAGAAGATGGAACCTCCCCCTCGAGTCCAGGATGGAATTTCCTTGAAGATTCGTATCCCACCAGTTTTTTAATAAATAAAAGACGAGAAGAAACTAATGAATAAATTGTAAATCAATCGAAGACAAGAAGTCAATGATGTTCGTCAGCGTAGGCTGAGTACAAAAAAGGGCCACCATCTGAGGCCCACGAACCACTCAAGTTGCACGCGGAGTTCTTCGGACATCATTCACTTGTCCCTCATGATTATTGGGATGATATCTAATTTTCTCAAATAAAAAATATTTAAAAAAAACCGTATAGAATCAGTAAAGGGAACCAGACAAAAAAAACCCATCAACAACGTAAATTAAAAACACATCCCTAGCGTGCACGCCTAGCGGTGGAAGGGGCTTGTCTCCTTCCACTGCACCTGGGTTCAAGCCCTAGCGTGCAAGGCCCACGAACCACTCAAGTTGCACGCGGAGTTCTTCGGACATCATTCACTTGTCCCTCATGATTATTGGGATGATATCTAATTTTCTCAAATAAAAAATATTTAAAAAAAACCGTATAGAATCAGTAAAGGGAACCAGACAAAAAAAACCCATCAACAACGTAAATTAAAAACACATCCCATGTCCAATAATCCCTTGATCCCTCACCACCCAATGGCTCGTGTAACTCCTCTCATATAGAAACATTAGCGAAAGTTAACAGGAAGTCATCTTATTCGCATCTTCATGGAATCATAGACTGACTCTCCCTCCAGATTATACAACTAATTCAGTCAAAAGTCTACTCTTTGATGTGATCCCGCCATCTCTGTCCCCCGGGAAATTGCATGACATGGTTCCTCAGATTTATTAGCTACTCCCCTCGAAAAATGCTGTGTTATTAGCATACCTATATTCTGGGTTAATTGTGTATTTGGTCCCCTTACTCTTACTTTTGTGTTATTTTGGTCATTCTATTATACTTTCTTCTGATATCATTCCCCAACTAGCCGCCTCCTCATTTGTATAATCATTTGATCATTCCCTAAATCTCCGTAAGGGCAGAGGACGATGGCATTAAGATTTGAACCAAATAATGGTATGATGATTTAACGCTGTCATTAGAAGCTTTGATGATTGTTACTGCAGGACTGTGTCAGTACTTAAAGACAAAGATAAGAGGGATGGATTAAAGAGAGAAAATTTAAGCTTTGCGGGACCAAAGTAAAATTTAATCCAGAAGATTTTTATATATAAATCCTATTCTTTACAGTTAAGTACTCCAACCCTAACTCACTCTAACAACCGAGACTACACTAGAGAGTCTCTTTCTATTTCCTTTGTTCCTCATTCTTTCCTGCTCCCCCCTTGGTTTGAAGCTCTTTAACAATGGGGTTAAGAGTACTTTCTGCCCTTGATGCAGCAAAAATACAGTATTATCACTTCAAAGCCATAATAATAGCAGGCATGGGCCTTTTCACTGATGCCTACGATCTCTTTTGCATCCCTCCAATCATGAAACTTCTTGGCCGTGTATACTACGAGGACAATCCTCATGACAAATACCAAATCCCACAAGTTGTGCTTGCTACCATGTTAGGCACAGTCCTGCTTGGTACAGTGATTGGTCAACTGGTATTTGGTATACTTGGTGACCGAATGGGAAGGCGCCGCGTATACGGTATCTCACTGATGCTCATGGTCCTCAGCTCGGTTGGGTGTGGTTTCTCCATTTGCAGGACCAAAACCTGCGTTCTTGTCAGTTTGGGGTTTTTCAGGTTTTTTCTGGGACTTGGGATTGGTGGAGACTACCCTTTGTCAGCTACAATCATGTCTGAATTTGCTAATAAGAATACACGAGGCGCTTTCATAGCGGCTGTGTTTTCTATGCAAGGGCTTGGAATTTTGGCTAGTTCCATGGTGACTATGGTGGTGTCTAAGATTTTTGAGGCTGCTGCTTCCAAGAAATTGTCAAAGGATCATACACCAGAAGATGCTGACTTGGCTTGGAGGTTGATTCTGATGCTTGGTGCTGTTCCTGCTGGACTCACTTATTATTGGCGCATGATGATGCCTGAAACAGCCAGGTACACTATATATATATATTAAAAAGAACTTCCTTGTTTTTACCTAAATTGTCTGATATTTTAAAATTTTCCTTGTCATTAAGGGAATGATTTTGAGCATTTTGGTATAAAAAAATAATTTTGTAATATTTTCTAAAATATAAAGATCATTCACAGTATTTGAGGGAGGAATATTGAAATTTATCTATATTTTTCCTCATTGGTATTATTATAGTTTAGATCACTGGATTATACCTTGTCAATCGTTTTTGCTGATTTCAATCCGTCGTTGGTTGCAATAAGTTCGGTTTTGTTGACTTCTATATGTAGCTAGGATTGGTTAAGGAGACTACAGATTGTATGCGGAGCCCCCTCAAGTTGACCAAATGGAAAATTTATTTTTGATTTTCTTTATCCATGGTAAATTATATATGATCTCTGCATGCACCACCAACGATTAGGAAATACATTTGGCACTGATACTGGATCATCATTTTGCTAAACAACGATTAAAGATCAATTAGCTAGCGTTGATTCTTTCCCGGTTGACTGAGAAAAATGGAGTCAAGCTAGTAAGCAAGTTAATTTAATCTGCGCACAATTAATTTATTGTCTCGCGATTTGGACTACTTGGTTTTCTGAAGATGACAACGGCTATATTTTTCATACCATGGTGCAGGTACACAGCTTTGGTAGAGAATAATGCCCTGCAAGCAGCCAAGGACATGGAGAAGGTCTTGGATGTTTCAATTTTCCAATTAGCTGAAGATGATCCCATGCAGCAGCCACAAAATCCATCATCTTATCCTCTAATCTCGATGCAGTTCCTCCGTGTCCATGGCATTGATCTCTTCTCCTGTGCCACCACATGGTTACTTCTTGACATTGCTTTTTATAGCAGCAGCCTCTTCCAGTCCCAGATTTACAGGAATAATCTTGACTTGCAAGACACAAATGTTTATAATGAAGCTTTCAAAGTTGCTTTCTTCCAAACCATGGTAGCAATTGCTGCTACAATTCCAGGGTATTGGTTCACAGTCTATTTTATTGATCGCATCGGAAGAAAAAAAATCCAAATGATGGGATTTCTCTGCATGGGTATAGTGTATTTTGCAATAGGGATACCATACCATTACTGGGGTAGAAATGAAAATAAAGGTTTCCTAGTCCTTTATGGTCTTACATTCTTCTTTGCAAATTTTGGACCCAACACTACAACTTTCATCGTGCCAGCAGAACTCTTTCCAGCTAGATTTAGATCAACATGCCATGGAATTTCTGGGGCAATGGGGAAGGTGGGTGCTTTCTTTGGGACATTAGGATTTCTGTGGGCTACAAAAAATAATGATCCAAGAATCAAAGCAATGAGAATTGCTTTAGTGAGTTTGGGTGGGGTTTTGTTAGGATACGGGCATGCAAACCCGACAAGACAAAAGGTAAGGGACAAGATAAAATGAGAAATGACACACAAGAATTTACGTGGTTCACCCAATTTGGCTACGTCCACGGGCAAGTATAGAAGAATTTTACTAAGTAATGTGGGAATACAACTTCTCTCTAATAATAGGAGAACAACAAAAATCTCTCTATTATTAGGAGAAAACACCTCACTTACTATCTCACAAATACCTCACAATTTTGTGGGATTACTCTCTTCTCACCCTCTCTTCTTTCTCTCTTATGGTGTGTCTATAATGCTTGGATGCATTGCCTATTTATAGGCTAGCATCCATGCAAAAGACAAGAGGTTAGGCAAATAGCACCAATTTGGTGCATACAATTTTTGACTAAGATGGCTACACCTTCTCCCACCATTTTTGACTAAGGTGTAAAAGGATGACTACACCTTCTCACACCTTGCTTTAGTGAGTTTGGGTGGGGTTTGTCTCTTGGGAATGGCTTTGACATACTTGTTCACGAGAGAAACTAATGGAAGATCATTAGAGGAGAATGAGAAGGAGAAGAAAAACAGTGAGCTGTGCTTCTTCAGATGTTTGATGGATGCTAATCGCCACCCAAAGACTTCTGTCCCTCATGAAGAAGAGATTGCTTTGTGAAGAACTAAATACACACCATAGTTTTTAGAGTTCAATCGTCTGATAGGACACCAGCTAAAAAGCAGTGTATTGTTTTCTGGACAAGAAAATCTAGATAGATCTGCTACGATTTCTTCTCTTCTCTTCTTTGTTTTTCCACCCTCGAAGCACTAGATTTTAGCTGGTGTCCTATCAGATGATTGAACTCTAAAACTCTCAGAAATATTTATATGTAAATATTTAATGATAAATTTGTACTATTACTTCTCTATCCTTTTAAAATAGTGTTTAATTATTCTAAATTTTCCATTTTTTTTGACCAAATTTTAGCTTAAATCGGGTTTTACTTAAAAAGGATGCCATTTTAGTTAATTTATATATTAAAAATCATAGTTTGAGCTGACTCATAAATCAGTAAATTAATTCACCCAACCCGTGATCCTGAACTCCAGCTAGGTCGGGTCTTGTTACTGTAATTTCTACATATGCAATTGCATTACTTGCTCTTCCAACAGTACACTAAACACTTCATCAAGAACCCAAAACTGTAGTGGTTATCTAGTAATTCATGAACACAAAAGATGCACACACACAAGCTTGACTTGCCATAATACCAAGCATAGTCAAGCTACAAAACAAGGGGCCAAGATAGAGTAGAAAAATTTACATCCAAGCTGAGCCGTCAAGGAATATATGCTAGCCAGTAAGGCAAACCAATATTTAACGTTTCTATGCTGATTCAGTCGTCCCAAATCTGAAGTTACGAGTTGAAGAACAACTAGATATTATCCAAGCATCGCCTCTATGGGCAAAGATGATTTAATAATGCAGCAATGGTCTGCAAATTCATACCTAATTCAGCATGTCTTTTCCTCATCACTTCCCCAACACAACCCTTGACGTCTACAAGGAAAGAGAAGGTTGAGTACACAAGGTCCTTTTTGTTATCGTCACCATGATGTAATTGAAGTGATTAAACTTGGATGACTAATTAAGATAAAAACACTCATGAAGTCTTGGGAAATTCCCAGCGTTGTCTTGACTTTTTGGAGTAGAGATATCTCCCTTGGTTTGGTTCGTAGCTTCTTTCCCAGAAGGGGGGCGTGGTTGGGGGGAGCTTAAACTTTGCACACTTTTCATGAATTGAAACTGGACAGTCAATCACACAACAAACCAACAATTGCCTCCTGTAATTCATTGTCAACTTCTTAACAGTTTTAAGTTAATTAAAACAGAAGGAATTGAAAAAAAATTATTTGAACAGTTGATTTTTGAGACGGTGTGGATAGATTGTGGACAGGACAGACAAATGGGAGTAAGAGAAGAAAAGAACCAGAACAGAACAAAAAGGGTTTTTGATGTAGGTGCGTCTGATGAGTCTCATAGTTCTAAATAGTCTGTTGTGTACAAGTAGATCATGTAGAAAGCTTAACAGACTTTCAGTGGAACAGAGATAAGCTAAATCTTGATAACGATTTCAAATTCAATTATTACAAGATGGGAAGAACCTTAGAAAATCAAGGGGAGAAACTGTTCCTAACCTTACCGGAGGGATTTCGCTACTAATTTGCCAAACTTTGATGACGATTTCAATAATATCAACGATTGTTTTTCGCTAGCGCTGATGGAAGTTGTGGTTGACAAGGGAAAGATGCAGAAAATACTGTAAATCCTGGAGACCAAGATAAAAAAGAAGATGAGAAAGAAAAAGCAAGACGCGATGGTGATCAGGTCACCGTTAGCTTCCGTGGTAGTGGTTGCGGCGATGGAGGTGGCTGTGGTGGTGATGAACTAAGGGAAGTACTGCTAGCTATAGCTGTGCTTATTATCATCATGGGGTTTTCATCCTCATTTCTAAGCCTACGATAATTTGATGAGCGTGATAGATAGCCAGAATGGAGTTAAGGAAGCTGTAACAGAACATGGGGATGCTAATAGTTTTTGTAGGGGCATGCTGGTAGTAGCAGAGAAAACATGAGCTTGAGTGGACATGAATTTAGAAAATCAATTATTACAAGACAGAACAAAAAAGGTTTTTGATGTAGGTGCGTCTGATGAGTCAAAAGGGTTTTTGATGTAGGTGCGTCTGATGAGTCTCATAGTTCTAAATAGTCTGTTGTGTACAAGTAGATCATGTAGAAAGCTTAACAGACTTTCAGTGGAACAGAGCTAAGCTAAATCTTGATAACGATTTCAAATTCAATTATTACAAGATGGGAAGAACCTTAGAAAATCAAGGAGGGAAACTGTTCATAACCTTACCGGAGGGATTTCGCTACTAATTTGCCAAACTTTGATGACGATTTCAATAATATCAACGATTGTTTTTCGCTAGCGCTGATGGAAGTTGTGGTTGACAAGGGAAAGATGCAGAAACTGCTGTAAATCCTAGAGACCAAGATAAAAAAGAAGATGAGAAAGAAAAAGCAAGACGCGATGGTGATCAGGTCACCGTTAGCTTCCGTGGTAGTGGTTGCGGCGATGGAGGTGGCTGTGGTGGTGATGAACTAAGGGAAGTACTGCTAGCTATAGCTGTGCTTATCATCATCATGGGGTTATCCTCATTTTTAAGCCTACAATAATTTGATGAACGTGATAGATAGCCAGAATGGAGTTAAGGAAGCTGTAACAGAACATGGGGATGCTAATAGTTTTTGTAGGGGCATGCTGGTAGTAGCAGAGAAAACATGAGCTTGAGTGGACATGAATTTAGAAAATCAATTATTACAAGACATCATCATCCCCATGACATCCAGATTTCAGAAATAGTAAATAAGAAGGGGAAAAACACAAATTTAGGACATTTAGCATGTCACTTCTTCTTGGTGGGATAAGAAGCCATCTTGTTGATTCCACAAAGTCCTGCGGGCTTGCCAGTGTTTCTCTTCATCCTTATGAAACCCTTTTCTCCCCATTTAGATCCCCAAGAGTTTTTAACTACGATGAAGTCCAAGCCCTTGGTTGATCCATATCCAACGGCTGCCACTCCATGATCTAGCTCGGTTCCACAATGACCATCAAAAACACCCTGCATCAACAAATCAATTTAGCCTACCATTCAAAATGAAAGACATATAGCTAGTCGCGTGTGTGTGTAGTGAATGTTGACCTACCCCGCTGTAAAACTGGAAGTCTCTGCCAGAAGCATCAATGGCCACACTCAGGGGCTGGTTTGCAAGTGCCTTCAATAGGTTTTCTTCACTGTTTTGTGGCACATCATGGTATCCACTAATGGTTACTACCTCTGATTCTGCCTGCGAGAACAATGACAAACTAAAATTAAACCAAAAAGAGAACGAGCATGGCCCGGATCAGTATGATATTGGAGGCCTTTCAGGATATTGTTGGGGTCGATTTTTCGTTTTGTTAATGGGCGGCATCATTGTACCTTTCTCATCTCACAAGTGCCCTCTTCCATGATGTATGGGTAATCTTCCTCCTCGTGGAGGCCACCGTTGGAGATTATGTAAGCAAATGCATAATCCATAAGTCCTCCATTGCATCCATTGTTATATGTAGTATCACAATCGACCAACTCTTGCTCAGAGAGGGATGTCAAATTTCCAGTAACAATCTGATTTATACCTTCTACTGCTGCCACTGTTGAAAAGGCCCAGCAGCTACCTGCATAAATGCAAATACTTTCACCCACCATGACTATTTTTGCGAGTCTACAAGATAGAGATGGAGGAGCATAGGAAACTTACCACATGAACCTTGGTTCTTGACATCAGTAACAGCTCCTTTCTTTCTCCAATCCACAGCCTTTGGGATGCTCGAGACATCCTTGTATGTGAATTCCTCAGAGCATTCTCTTCTGTTAGACAAGTCAACATTCAAGCCAAGATACTTGTTTTTGAACTCTTCATGGCTCAAATCAGCGAACTCATTCAATCCAAGCCAGTAGTTAACAACCTTCTTATTAGTCTCGTCAATGTGGAACAAATTATCTTTGAAAATCTCAAATCTATGCCATTTTTCTTCAATACTCTCATAAATCTTCTGGTGTTTTGATATCCATGATTCAAAGAGATCAATGATCTTATCCCTAGACGTCAAGTCTTCTGGGGCATAGCCTACAATTGAGAAATCACGAGCTAAACCAGAAGATGCAAAGAATGACATGAGAGACAACGCAAGAATCAAAGAAACTGTGGGGAGAGCCATTTGAGCTGTTTGAATTTGAGAATGGGAAAAATTGTTGAGTGGAAGGATGGACATGAAGGAAGGGGAGGGGTGGTATATATAGGTTATGCCCTTTGGTGTGTACGGCATGTGTTGCTTCAAGTAAAGTGTTGGATTGTTTACTTTGAATGCTGAGACTTGAAGATTGGTTCTTTCGATTGCTTTCAATCTAAGCATGCATATATATATATATATAGACGTTTGTGTATGTATGTGTGTGTGTGTGTGTTAACTGTGTTTGGTTAGCATCTGAAATACAAAAAATAAATATAAAAGGAAGAAAACGTATTTGATTAAAGTAATAAAAATATAAATATAAAAATTGTTTTCCTGAGATAATTTTATAATGAAATTTAATCCTTTCAAAAAAAAACATGAAAACATGTATTTTTTCATTTCAACTATTTTATTCTTTTTATATATACTAATTAACAATCACTTGAATTTGAAATGAAGCAATGAGGTTTTTTTATTTTTATTTTAGTAATATGTAATAAGAGGTGAAGGCCGTTGCTTAAAGGTCACGTGTAATATTTCGTGTAAACGTAACTTGCTATGGAGCTGCTTGTTCTAATTAACCATCTACGATGAGAAAATTATGAAGAAAAAAAAAGGATCAGACCTCCTCGTCGAAGACACCGTTGCTTAAAGGCCACGTGTAATATTTCGTGTAAATGTAACTTGCTATGTAGGTGCTTGTTCTAATTAACCCTCTACGATGAGAAAATTATGAAGAAGAAAAAAGGATCAGACCTCCTCGTCGAAGACGAGGTGAAGCAGTCACATTGATGGGCTTCAGTGTCCTCACAGTAGCAGATATTGGTATGAAATGCGCTAGAGCCCATAGTCCAGCAACGTCTCGATGTTGGTCCATCACTGAGCATAGGCCTGGCCGCGCTGTTACAATTTAAAGCCTCTGTGCCTGCATAGATGCATTATGAAACTCAAGACTGATTTCTTGACAGTCCTTTTTCTCTAATTGCATGTCCTTTGGATACCCTTCTCCCGTTTATCAACTTTCATTCAATAACACGACAATAATCCCAGTGAGCTGTTGTTTTCTATATAACGACAATTATGGGATCCAATTTGAGCCTGATTTTAAAGGCCGAGGCTTACGAAATATATAAGGGGCGAGAGGGCTGATTATCAGCTGATTGAGAGTTGGTGGAATTAAATGCAGCAAAAAGGTACACTCCTGACATGTACAACGTGCTCGGGAGAAGTGGAAAGTGGAAGGAGGGGAATGACTAGTGAGAGAGGAAAGTTAACATTATTTCCACTGTTCTGGCCCCTCTGGGAAGAAGAAAGAAAATGTGAAGAGAGGGAGGAGGATGAAGTTGTTTTACAAGGGACCACAGAAATCAATCTCTCCATTTTTCGAGAGAAAGTGAAAGAAAATCAGTGAAATTTCCTTAATTAACCACAAACCGAAAAGGGAGTTATTTACTTCCCTTCGTTCTCTCTGCTTTCTCTTGTCTTCCCCTCTTATCTGGCTCCCAAGCATAGCGTTAAGCATGAAATTCATGGCCTACCGAGTATGGGAAGGGGAAAAAAAAAGAAAAAGATAGCCATATTCCTGCACAGAACGATAAACAAACTATTGTGGTTCAGAGGTACACTGGCTACAGCCATGGCCACCTAGCTATGAGAAAGGCCCACAATAATGTGTCTGCTGGAATGAGTCACCTCCATCAACAATTCTCACCTCGCCCGTACGTGTGCATAACTGCGTATCATTTGCATGAAATTGTAATGAAGAAAACCATGGTTTCTTAATCTTGGGACTCCTTATCACGAAACCATGCCTCCTATTGGTCAAAGAATTTCGATTTGAAAGAAATTCATTTTTTCTAATATATAACAACAAGAAATAATAAGGTTGTCGTTTCCTAACAAAAAAAAAACATAAACATATTTAGTCAAGAAAAAAAAACTATAATATAAAATGAATCAGGCTTTTAAAAACAAATTTATATTAGAAGACGTTTTTTTTTTTTTCCTTTCTCGGTCTATTTTGTTACTAGATAATAGCCAAATTTTACGAAACAGATTTTTCCTTGTAACACGTCCGGAACTCAAGAGGAATGAATAGGGCATTAGATGATTAAGATAAAAGGAAAAAATAACATTGCAATTAGCTGAATGAAGTTACGGACTCTTGAGCTAGAACAAAACGAGAATCGTGTACAAGCGTTGAATGTGTTATTATCATTGCATGCCGCAAGCAAGTTGAACTGTTGAAGGGACATGAAAAGATGTTTGCCCCGAAATAGATCCCTAGCCTGTAAGTGGATTGGCCCCCCGTTTCCACTTATAATTCTACAGAGCTGAAGTGAGAGAGCTCAGCAAGTTCCTGTTGATTGAGAATAATGAGTTCGATGATTGAAGAATTGTGAAATATAAACTTGACATTGAAGGGCTGAATCCTAGCAAAGGTAGGAAAGGGATATGGGATGCTGGAGTGATCAATAATGGGTTCTGACTTCGCTTGCTTTAGATTAATGTCCTTCTTCCTCGAAGGGTTCTCACTTCTCAGTATTATTTTGTAGTAGAGGAGAACATGGTGCAGCCTGCATGCCAGGTTCTTTCCTAACCACTCTATTTATTACCATGCCACCAGTATTATCTCGTCTAGCTAGCACTTTTTTTTACGAACTTCCCACAGCCCTCAATAGAATATGTTGTTATATATTCTTGTAAACTCACTAGAGATTTTAGGCTTCTGATCAATGAAGATTCTTTTTCTATACTTGATTAACTTGGACTACAGTTGCACCTGCATGCGTTTAAAACACCAAGAGCACCCGAGAAATCACCTCCTTAAGCCGGAGATACATAGATGAATTGATATTTTTCCTCTAAAGTCATCCATGATATTGCTGCAGCATTCCCATTAACCTATTTTCCAGATCTTATAATTGCCAGCACTGGTAGTATTAAGGAAGTCTATGATCCAATGACCTGACTATTTTACGTCATTTCTGCCTGTCATTGTCTCTTTGAGGAGACTGACATGAATAATTTAATGTCGAATTGGAGGCATGGCAATGCCAAAAGGCGGAAGTGGCGTAGGGGAGTGGTTGCTGCTTACTATCTATCCCATGTGATCATGCATTCGAGGGTTATCAGATATAGGCCTAGGTTGCTACGAAGGTGAAAAAGGAAGAGTAAATATTGATATGAAACAAAACAAGTAGGCAACAGTACTAGCTGGTGTGTAGGCTTATGTAATATGTGAGGAAAATTAGGTAGTAGTGGTGGTCTTTAGGATTAGATATTCTGGCCGGTGCCTGACTGTTATCTTTTACTTGGGTGAGTTACTAAGATCTAGATAGTTATATAGCTGCCTGCCATGGAAACCTGATGTTTTACCCGAAGATCCCGCTACACGTGCGACCCCGACACCATTTCCTACCCAAAGATCCCCGTGAACGCTACCCGTTTTTACGGGTGTTCATAATAATATTATTGTACTAATAATTAATTTAAAAAATATTTTTAAAAAATAATATATTGAAAATATTTTTTATTTTTTAAAAATTACTTTCTATATTAACCAATCAAAACAATACAAAAATATAAAAAATTAAACAAAAAATTCTTAATTTTTTCTATAATTCAAGTATTTTATTTTTTTATTAATTTAAAACATACTTGTAGCACATAAATATTATTTTTTTTCATAACAAAAAAATATAAACTACGAGCCCATGTCTAGTTCAAAACTAATATTCAAATGTTGTTTATGTACAAGGTTATGTCATATTTCATATACACAAACACAAATAACAATAGAAATATTGGTTCCATCTTCTAGATCTTTTTTTAACTTTAATTTTATTTAGAAATGTGATAGCATTAAAATAATATTTTTAATTTTTTAAAATTTATTTTTAACATTAATATATTAAAAAAAATTAAATATATAAAAAAATTTAAAACTCAAATAAATTAAAATTGGTCAAAAACACGGTTTAATCATAATTCCAAACTTCCCAAAATCATCAATATCTAGAGGAGTAAAACAGTGACAAGATAATAATGGGCATACAATGAAAGTTTTATTCTTGAATCCAAGTTCATCAAAATCTGAAGACCATGGACCCAACCATGAAGAAATAGCAATGAAACCAATCCTCTCTTCTGAACCCTAGATTCCCAAGTGCTGAGGAGAACAGGCAACAGAATTTTCAATTTTGGAGTGAAAAAAGGGATGATGGACACCACATGAATTGAATCTCTATTCCAGGTCTTGTTAACAGTTGTTGCAGGCAAGAGTGATAGAGGGAAGGGAAAGAGACATATAGAGAATTTTTTTTATATATTATTTGATGAAATGACATTTTATTCAGAAATTAAAAAAATAAACCGTGAAAACAAAGGAAGTGGATAATTGATGTTCAAATAAATGCAAGGACAATTAATGTTAACCTTCCACAAGTTAACAATACGATAGATTTGTATGTGTTTGTTTTTTTTATTCAATAAGAAAAAAATATTCTCAATCAATTTTTTATACTAATTAAAATTACAATATCGATAAATAATAATCAAAATTAAATTTTAGTTTCAATTAATTTTACAAACACACCCTACGCAACTAGCTTTTTAGCATCAACAAGAATCCATACAAACTAGCTAGATGAGCAAGCACAGGTGTCCAAAGTACCTATTCTACTGTTCCTAATCATGTCCTCATGTATCCGATTAATTATGTAGAAGAAATCCCCTGCGCAGCTCTGGTGGTCGATGGGGGGTTCAAGTTATATTCAATGAGTTGAGCTTAGATTATATTTTTTTTATTAGTAATTGTTAATTTGGATTTTTTTATCAGTGTATCCAAGACAAATAAGTGATGTCAAAAAAAATTTAAAATGGTTTAATTCTAATCCAAGCTAGATAAAGGTTGAAAAAGAATTTTTTTTTTATTAATTTTATTTTTAAAATTTTTTTATTGATTAGCATGTTGTTATTTGATCAGCTAAGTTAATTATATCATGTCAAAATAATTTTAATATAATTTATTTTTAAATTGAAATCAGATAAGAAATTGATCAAAAAATTTTAAGATTGATACATTAAATTATGTTTAATAATAATTTTAAATA